GGGCGGCCCGACGGCAGCGGGGGGGGGGGGCCGGCCCGGTCCATCCCGCCCGCCCCACGCTCCCTCTCGTTCTCTCCTGCCTCGTCCCCGACACGGGAGACCGCCCCGCTGCCCCCCGCTCCAGGCGTCCCTTTGGGTCCCGTCCCGTCTGGACCGGGACTCCCCGACCGCTCCGGGGAAAAACGCGGCGGCTGCTCCGGGGTCGTCCCCCCCGCCCCGGCCCCAGCCCCGGCGGGAGCTCTGTCCCGCACCGCGGAGCGGCGGCTCCTGCCCCGGGCTCCGGCCGCTCCCCGCGCAACGAGGGCAGGGACGAAACGGGGAGTTTCTGCCCTGGCGGTTCCCCCCCCCTCCGACGGCGGACAGCCCGCCCGGCTCCGAGCCGGCTTTTCCCCCTTTAAAAAAAAACTCCCGTTATTTCCTCTCCTAAATGTTTTTTTGGTTTGGTTTTTTTTTTTTTCCTCCCCTCCGGTTTAACGAACGGAGCCAGCGCTGTCGGGGCGGGGAGAACCGGGCCGCGCTCCCCTGGCGTGTCCGGGGCGCCGGGGGTCTCACCGGGGGTGGCAGAGCCGGGTCCGGGGCAGCGGGTCCGGTGCCGGTGCAGGACCGTCCCGGTTCTCGCCAGCATCGACCGCGGCCGACGGAGGCTTAAAAACAAAACAGCGAAGAACCGAGACGGGGGCCCCGCCGGGAGCGGGACCGACCCCGCGGACCGGGCAGCCCGGCAGCCCCCCCGCCGTCGGGCTGGTGCCCCCGGTCCCACCCCGGGCTCGGCGCCCGGTTTGTCTTTTTCCGTGGCTCTCCGCGGTGCGGACTTCGCAGCCGCGGTAGTTATGCGTTTGACCCGGCAATCGGGAGATGCTTTTGCTATCGGGGGGAGGAGACGAACACGGCCGAAAGCGAAGCCCCGGTAGAAGGAACGAGGCCAAAACGCCGGTTGCCCGGAGGACGAGACGCTCGTTTACGGCTCCGCGGTCCGTCCCCGGCCGGGCTCCGTCGGGGCCCGGGGAGGTAGCGAGAAGGGAGCAGCGGGGCTCACCGGGGCTTACCGTGCCGGAGGGCCGGGGCACGACCAGGACCGGGACCGGGACCGGGGCGGGAGGGGGGGGTTCGTGCCACCGGAGGGGTCGAGCCGCGCGGTGCTTTGCCCATGCCGGGGACAAATCCCGGGGTTTGCGGCTCACAACGAGCTCGGGGCAGCGGCTGGGGGTGCCCCCCCCCCCGCACCCCGGTGCAGTCCCCCCGCCCGGCCCCGGAGAGGGCGGGGGGATTAAATACAACGCGCCGCGATGCCCTGCCCGGCGCTTCAGACCGGCACCGGCGGGGACGGCCGGCAGCTAAAAATAACCCGCTTTAGCGAATTAAA